ATATTGTAAGGGCACTCATTTGTGGTATGCATTTTCCCATTGATGAAAGTGTGTTTCTGGCCATTTTTGAATTGCAGACCTTTTGAGTTATGTGCATTTCCCAAATGTATGCATCGGCTTGTGCACGTTTGTGCTTTGAAACTCTTGGCAAGGGGCAGATTTTTGAGATAAACTGTACTCTGTTAGGTGTCTCAGAAGTGTGAAATGGCCATTTCTACATATGAACCTAAAGGATCCCCCCCTCCTAGTTTTTACCAGCATATGTGTGATAAGTGAATGAGTGAGTAAATGAATGTGAGGGAGAGAAAGAGAGAGAAGGAAAAGAAAGAGAAACTTGGCTTCAATGCCAGGGGTTTTTTTCCCTAGCAAACATCAGCAGTCACATTTGCACTTCGTGCACATTCTTCAGTTCTGTTGGCCATGCTACAACAGATACTTACTGCAAAGAGCATTTATTTATTTGTTTTTCACTGCAGTGGCAGTTGCGGGGATTTCTATTACAGATACTTCCCTGTATGGCCTTGTACCTTGCCGTATGTCAGTTTCTGTTCCTGCTCCTTGTTTAGCTCTGAAAAATTTTGCAATGAAAACAAGAATTTTTATTTGTGATAGTTTTAATCATGTGTTCTTGTTAGAGGCTTTTCTCCTACTCTGACAGATACTGCAGTCACACGGTTGTTAATCATTCATGATGTGCTTGCTGCATCTGCCCTGGCTATGATAAACTTTTAAGAAGGAATTAGGGAAATGATGATCAGTGATGTAATGCCTCTTCAAAATACTTGGCGCATTATGCGCACACACCCAATAGCAGCCCTTAATTACATTGGCTCTTCATTTTAGCAGTGTCTGCTTCTATATCCACTGCCTGGGGCCCTTCTTTTTTGGAAAAAAAATGCCACATAGGGGTTATTCAGACATTGTTTTTGTTAGTGCGACTATGCAAATAATCTCACTCACAGATTCTGGTTTTGTTGTTCACAGTTGTTTTTTATAGGAACTGCATCTATGCGAATCTCTATGAGTTCTTTTGCTCACATATGAGAATAAAGATGGAGTTCATGGCGTGGATGTATTTGAAACACATTCAAGGCAGGCAGAATTTTATCCCAGTTTATCCTGGGTCTATTCACACAACCGACAATGCAAATCCTTTAGGAAAACTTTAAAAAACCACCAAGATCAATTATCACAGGTTAAGTGGGTTGTTGTTTTTTTTCACACACACCCCAAATGTACTTGGGTGCATTGAAAATGCATGTGAACAACAAAGATTCAACCCACATTCTACCAGGATTATTTTCACAGTCTAAATACAGTCATAACTTGGGAGTTCTCTCCCCCCCCCCCCCCGCCCTTCTTCAGGATCAAGGCAAATACTTTCACTTTAGAAACCCTCACAGAATAGTTTGCTCAGAAATCCATTAAATGCTTTTCTACCAGAGGAACAGCTCCAGCCTATACATTATTTAATGCCTTCAGTTATTAAATCTTATTGTGCAGAAAGAGTTTATGGGTTGATCTCCTTTCAATCACCATTTGGCACCTCCTTGCCAACAGGCAGAGCTTGGAAAAGTTTATTTTGGGGGGAGTACACCCCCTGAGAAGCTCGGTCTCTGGGACTTGTAGTACAAGTAGGTAACTTTTTCAAGGTCTGTTTTTGGGGTATCTGTCAGCAGCATTCTGCCTGGTTGCAGCAGAAAGAGAAACAGGGCTGCTCTACTTGCCAATTTCACTTGGTCCCTCAAATTTTTTTATTTACTATGGTCACCACATAAGAAGAATTGTAATGCTCAGGATCCACCCTACCATGAAGAGAGAAAGGAGTTGCTTTAGGGAACAGATGATGGAACCTGCAGAAAAATGGAGCTGTATGCACCATGCAACCTTCCACATCCCTTAAGCTGGCTGCTAGCCTCAAACATGGTAGATGAAGTTGTCCTATAGTCAGGACTGAAGCAAAATTGAACTTCCAATCTGATCAGCTTTTCTATGAGGAATGGGAAGAGGTGCCACCCTGTCCTTTGCCACAAGCAGCAAAATTTTTAGGCCAGCCTTGTGTATGTGTGTATTCTCTGCCTTCAAATCATTTCTGACTTAGGCTGACCCAAAGGCAAACCTGTCATGGAATTTTCTTGTTCAGATGAGGTTTGTTCAGATGAGATTTGCCATTGCCTTCCCTAAGGCTGAGAGCATGTGACTTGCCCGAAGTGGGTTTCGTGGCCAAGCCTTAGTACAGCCAGCCCTCTGTATCCAAGGATTCTTTATCCAGGGATTCAAGCATCCATGGCTTAAAAATATTCATATATATATAAGTTTGCACAAGCAAACCTTGATTTTGCCATTTTATATAAGGGACACCAACTTTCTATACCACTGTATAATAGGACTTGAAAATCCATGGATTTTGGTATTCAGAAGGGGTCCTGGAACCAAACTCCAGTGGATACCAAGGGCCTGCTACATGGCGTCCCCACCCGGGGTTCACCCAGATTGGGGAGGCAGGGCTTCCTGGGACAGTGCCAAAAGGGCACTCTGCCCACCCTGGTGCTGCGGTGCATAGAATGGTGCTGCATCAGCAAAATGGGGGGCACTCTTGGCCCTCTTAGCATCCCCCCCCAGCCTTCCAAGTACCACACGTGGCCATTACTTCATGGGAACTGGAAGGCAGCCACCGCCCCTAGCTTTCCAAGTCCCGTGTGGCCATGGCCATGTGGGATCTGAAAAGCAGCAGCCATCTGCTCCCCAGTTTACAATCCCACTGGGTGTCACCCCGTCTGGGGTGTCACCCAGTGTGATCCACAACACCGCAGCCCCCTAGTGACACCACTGGTCCACTGTGTTACTTTAAGGGCTTGAATGCCCAGAGGGCACCAGATCCTGTTTTTTGGAATCTCAGCAGGATCAGTGCTGGTTACTACTTGGATGGTAGACAGTCATAAATATCAGGTGCTGTAGGCTATCTTTCAGAGGAAGATACTGCCAAAACCGCCTCTGAGTACTTCTTGCCTAAAAAAAAAAAAAAAAAAAAAAAAAAAAAAATTATTATGAAATTCATGGGGTTACCATAAGCTCTACTCTGGAGCTACCACAAACTACAATTCCCAGAATTCCATAGCATTGAACCAGGGCAGTTAAAGCAGTATCAGACCAGATTATTTCTGCAGTGTGTATGAAGCCTGAAACTACTTAACATAACAGCCTCGATGGTGCCTTTTTCCCTCCCGGAACCCAGTTGGTGACTTATTAGAAACAGCCGCCTTAAGAATGAAAGTGAGTCAGGCAAGGCCAAGCCAGGAAAGGGAGAGGCATGTGAAGGCTGGGTGTGGTGGACTGTGTACGCCACAGACTTCCTGATCATCATTACACAGCAGTTTTTGCTCTCCCCGCTCCAAAGCCTGAGTGAGTTATGAAGAATCGCCTGGAATTAACTTCAAACTCAGACCCAGCATGTGCCAAGCAGGCATTCTGAATCTAAAGCCAAACAACCTCCCTCCTCTGATTTTACACAGTTAGATTTGAAATAGCCAGCCCCAAATATGCATCCAGCATCTTGCCATGTGCTCTCACTGCTCCCGAAGGCAAACTGTGCTTGTATTTTAAATTGTGTTACACTAAGCAGTCTTTGTTCAAAGCCCAGGATTCCTTTTCTCGTGATCTGTTCTTTCCTTCCTCACAGTTTACACAGCATGGTAATGCTAGCGTGGCGTAGAGGTTTGAGTGTTGGACTACGACTCAGGAGACCAGGGTTCGATTCCCAGCTTGACCATGAAACCCACTGGGTGGTCTTGGACAAGTCACATGCTCTCAGCCACAAGAGAAGGCAATGGCAAACTTCCTCTGAACAAACATTGCCAAGAAAACCCCATGATAGGATTCGCCTTAGGGTCATCATAAGCCCGAAATGACTTGAGGGCACACAACACACACACAGAGGTCTAGGGGATAATAGTGAAAAAGTGCTCCTAATTCACTACAAAACATGCACACACACCAGCCTTGCTTCCCCTTCAAACCTATGGCTAAAGAGAAATGTATACTAGAAAGGAAGATAGAACTTTGTAGGAATGTATACTTTACATATCAAACAATTTTTCTTAGACCAGTGAGTGTATTCTATCAGTAAATGACAAAGATTAATATTATGTTTAAGCATACTTGAAGTACCCATTGGTAAGATATGTAAACAACTGTGTGCTGTTAAACTATGGTATTGTGTTGTTTTTTTGTATGTGGAGAAACTTTTAATAAGAACAGTTTGTTTAAAATATATATATGGCTAAAGTTAGATCCTTTTTGCAGTTCCAATTTGGCAAGGACAGTCCTGATTAATTCTCCATTGTCACACTTTTTCAGCTACTTTTAAAATGTCCTGGTTTCTTTCTCATCCTCCCACTTTCCCCCTTTGCCTTAAATTTATTTTCATTGATGCAATCTGAGCTCAAAGTGCAGAAGTAGTCTGCACTCAAGGGGAGGAGGAGAAGGCAGGATGGGACACAATCTTGCCCTTCCCAGCAGGCTCATGCAAAAGCAAACCGGTGTGGCCTCTTGGTGCTTGTGTATTCTTCCCCACTAATAGAATCATAGAGGTCCAACTTTCTGTCCAATGCAGGATCTCCAGCTAGAACATCCCCAGCAGGTAGCTGCCTGGCCTCTTTTTGAAGACATCCAGAGAAGGAGATTTTACTACTTCTTGACCAACCTGTAATCTTGACCACATTCTGATGTTGTTTGGCCATATGTGTCCTGGTTTTTACCTGTGAAAGGCTGGAGGATATTTAGACCTGAGCATGACTGGTGTTCATGGAGATCTTGCTTTCTTAGAGTCACCATGAGTTGAAGCCAGCAACATGATTGCAAATAACAAACTTTAGTTTGGACTACCAGTAAGATTCAGGCCACATAACCCAGCATTACCAAATTCCCACCAAACCTGTCAAAGATTGGTGCCATTTATGTGATACAATGTGCAATAAACTGCTAGAGTTAAATTTCTGAGAGCCAGGGTTGTGTAGTGATGTGAGCACTGGACTACAACTCCGGAGATCAGGGTTCAATTCCCCGCTCAGCCATGGAAACCCACTGGGTGACCTTGGGTGAGTTGCACACTCTCAGCCCCAGAAAATCCCATGTTAGAGTCACCTTAAGGTCTCCATAAGTCAGAAATGACTTGAACACACACAGTAACAACACAACATGTAATTTCTACTCCAGTTGTGAAATGATGTAACCACACGGGCATATACCAGAAAGATGAAGATTCACTACTGAGAGCTTGGAGGGAGACTTTCTGGAGTCCAGTACATCTTCCAGATTCCCCCAGACAGTGTGGCTACCAACCATGCTAATGGGAGGATTCTGGAGGTTTCATTCAAAAAAGCAACTTTTCTGAGCTCTGCTACCAAGCAGTAAAATTGTCAGCATACTGTCCTAGTTCTCACTTTTTACAGGGCAGAGAATGTAAAAGAGAACTCTCAGTTTACACAACTGTGTTTTGACACCCAGGTCTCACTCAGGATGCCTAGATAGACTTCACATATACTAAAGCCAATACTGGTATAAATATATATGAGAGTATATTTTGTCATTTCCTTTTGAGAATTCCTGCATTTATCTCTCTTCTGTGTATATGTGACTTCAAGTTGCCTGTGGATTTATGGTGACCTCATCAATTTTGTAAGGTTTTCTTAGGCAAGAAATACTCAAAAGTGGTTTTGCCAGTTCCTTCCTCTGAAATATAGCGTAAAGCACCTGGTGTTCATTGGTGGTCTACCATCCAAGTACTAACCAGGACTGACCTTTCTTAGCTTTCAAAATCAGACAGGGTCTGGTGACTTTAGGGTATTTAGGCTCTATCTTTCCTTTAGCTGTTTCCAGTATGCTTGTATATTACTATGTACACATACCCAAATATTTTCATTTCCTAATTGTTGAATCTCATTTCACACCCAACTACATATGCATGTAGTATCTTCTTTGCCTAATTGTTAAACTTTGCATATGCAGAATAACAGATTGTCTAAATTCATTCTGGGACTCCAGAGCAGCCTTTTATGCAAGACAATATCTGAAATAAGAAATCCTGTTTATTTATATCAGGGAT